GTGCACGTTGAGCTGTTGCATGCTCAGTAGAGATGCAGAAGTGCACGTTGAGCTGTTGCATGCTCAGTAGAGATGCACAGGTGCAGATTTAGCTGTTGAATAGTAGTAGAAGCACTTCTTGCTGGAAATGGGTAGACTCTTGAGCTGCTCATCTTCCTGAGATCTGTTTGGATTGGTTGAAGCTCATCTCAAGAACCTGGGTTACTGTAAGGCCTTGAAGACTGGGTTCTGCTCCTGACCCTGTCCCTTTATAGCAGTGGTCCTCAACCTTCCTAATGCCAGGACCCTTTAGTATAGTTCCTCATGTTGTGGTGACCCACAACCACAAAATTATTTCATTGCTACTTCATAACTATAATTTTGCTACTATTATGAATCATCATATAAATATCTGTGTTTTCCAATGATCTTAGGCAACCCCTGTGAAAGGGTCATTCAGCTCCCAAAAGAGTCATGATCCACAGGTTGAGAATCACTGCTTTATAGCAATATGGTATTGGCCAGGCTGCTTTACCTCTCTTGACCTGCATATCCTTGTCTATATATCAAGAATTGCAAAGACTGCTTTTAAGTTTAGTCAGATTAAATGAAATGACCTTTATGGACTGGTAAGCACTTTGTGCCTATTGGTCACAGCTGATCGTGACTTCTCCCCTACTTGGATTTCTCATGAATTATCTTGTCTAAATTAGCAGTCGGTTCTCAAAGTATGATCTGTGAACTAACAGAGCAGCCTTACCTGGACAGTGATTAGAAATTTTAATTGGGGACCTCATGATTGTGCTGCCGACACCATACCTACTGAATCAGCACCTCTGGGGATGGCTTCAGCCCCCTGCTCCTTAATAAGCTCTCCAGGTGTTTCTGGCACAGTCAAGTGCAGAGTTTTTGCTCCCTTCTCAGGGATAGAGCAGAGACAGAAGTATTGCCTTGGGCTGCCAGCCACACCCACAACCCCCAATTATGTTCAGTGCTAGCAGGAGATGCTGCCACACACTCCTAACTATTACTGAGTCCCTGGGACTGAAATAGAGCACTGTGATTGTTTATCTTACCATTTGCCCCTTGTAATTCTCTGTACCCCCAAAATGCTCCTTGGAGCCACTGAGGTACTGTAGCAGCTTTGGACGAGCCTCTCTGTCTTTAATCTATGTTGTTATTGTTCACCTGCATAGAGTAATTGGGAGCCTCCACCCAGTGTCCACTCCAGATGGCTGGTGCATTGGCCTAATTTCTCCCCATCGGTGACAATGTGGCAGCCACATGATTCTCCCAGCTCAACACCATGACCTCCTGCCCTTTTGCTGTCAGAGATGACAGGGGAGCTGCGGACAGCAGGTGGCAGGCGCTCTGGACAATCTATTAGAGTTGGTGGCTCTTGTAAAAACCATTTGCTCCAGTCAAGAATTTCCTTGCAAATAACTCTCTGCTTCAACAAGCCTGGGTCTGTTATCACTAATTATTTTTGGATTAAGAAGGGCTAACAGGACTCGGCCTTGGAAGGTCAGAATAATTTGAGTAGATAACTAGATTGCTGTATCCCCTAGGGAGGAAAGGATCTCCAAGACCAAGGTTCCAGGAACTTTGATTGAAAGGAAACAGT